CAGTGTATACCTTATCCAAAACTGATGTAAAAATTACAATCTATCATTATTTTATTATAACCCATTTTCCAACTGTTCTTTTCTCATTTCTACCATTACACAATTGGAATTCTTCAGACTGTGGTCTTCATCTCAGTCATTATGAAAATGACTCAGAATTATAGAAACCTAACTCAAAAACATGTTTACAGATAATTTGCCAAGAGTTTGGGGTATATTGGCTGCAGAGTACCTTGCTGAATGAGAAAAAGTGTTGAAATTCCAAACAAAATATAATTCTGGCAATATACATTTCTAACACATATATCCATATTTCTTGTGTTAAAACCAATAAGAAAATGTACTCTGCTTTTACCTTGTGTACATCAATATTTATAGTCTCATGTACCAATCATTCACCAATTAACCTAAGCCTCTCATATTCTTCAGCTCCTTAATTTGGACATTAACCATGTTTAAAGCTAAAACCGTGTCCTTTAATTTCGTTAACACAGAGGTTACAGTACATGCACATTTATGGGTGAATTGTGTGCCAGCCTCGGTCAATGCTCAAATAAAGAATTGTACAGGACAATGGACCAATATTGTGATCTCCCCAGGCCCTCAGTGGCACAGAAATGATTAAAGTCATAATAACTCTTCGTTTTGGCCAAAAATTGGATTTTCCTGGAGTAAACGGCAATTTTCCCGTACTTACCAATGGTCAACGACCCCATTCCTGCATTCAAAGTTAGCCCAGGATTTTTTTCCTAAACGTTTGTTTTTTTGTAAAAATCTCTCAAGAGATTTTAACTGACGGAGCCCTCTCTGACATTGCATAGTCACGCGATATCGAGCGATAGTTTCTGGTGACCTATAGTACTTAAAACCACGGGAAAAGCAGACAACAACAACACTATATAACAATAATATAAGATTCATAAGATATATTCGTCTTATTGCTCAAAATGCATTTATATCTACAATGTGTGCTATTCGGGGCTTTTCGTTATCCAATGCATTGTACAAAAACTCGCAACTTACGTCTGCATATTACATCAGGCATTTGGCGCCAGAAGTTATTTTGGTCTCGTATGAACACCAGAATCCGTGTACGTGACACCCTAACGTCATTGGCAACGGATGCCTTAACGACCGGGAAGAAAGGCATCGAAAGCCCTACTGACAAGCACAGATTTTAGTTTTACTATAATAACGGCCGTTTTAGTGGTAAACTGCAATAGAATATATTTCCATGCGTTGTTTACAATGTATTTCTTGCAGAATTTTGAATCTCAAAGGAAGAGTTATTATTGCTTTAAGTTCCAGTAGTGCCCTGCACTTCTCTGGCTTAATTTCTGCTGGTGCTTAGAATATGCAATCAGTTACTAGTACGGAAGTATATATATAACAGCTGTACACCTGTACCTATATGCACAGGTACATACCTGTATATAGTGTATACCTGCATTTAAATTCTAATTTGTGAAAATGCATACAGAAAAAAATAACTAATTAACAATCAATGTTGGCAAATGAAGATAAGATGAACCAAATGCACGTTTGTCCCATGCATGAGGGCATAAACGGACATAAGCTGCATTTGAAACAAACAGATACGAGAGAATGCAAGAGAGAGAGAGAAAGCAGAACAAATGAGACAATCATTATGCATATAATTACACGTAAATAAATTTATTATGTTATTAATTTTAGTCTCTGGCTCTCAAAAGAAAATAATTTCCCATCCTTATATTCTTCAAGATTAATTGATTTAGCTAAATTTTATGATATTATCTTCAATTACATTCTCTGGCACATTCTCTCTCTCCCTCCCCTCTTCATCTCGGGCTTTTTCTCTCTCTCTCTTTCTCTCTCTGTCACACACACACACACACACACACATGCACACACACACATACAAAGACGTGCACACACACACACACACACACACACACACACATACACAAGTCACCAGTTAACAATCAATTCCAGCAAATAAAGACAACCGCAGCCTTTATCGAACAGCAAAACAAGTAGATTTACACAGCACAAGCTGTCTCAACACATAACCCCATTTGTATGCCACGGGATTGTTTTTCTTATAGATTAATTATTCTGACTGGGCATACTTCCACCGACATTGATGGGAAGAAAGTGCTTGCTTTTAAGAACAAAAAAGCTATTAGGGAAATGTCATTCAAGGTAAATATGCTGCAAAGGTCTTGGCTGTGCTAAAGCGAAGGCCTTACCAGTACATGTATGAGTATCTAGTCATAAGTTATATTTATAGCACCTGCTTTTGAAGAATCAACTGATAATATCTTTTTCTTGTTTTAAGCAAAATTGGACTTTCTATTTTTTTTTTTTTTTTTCAATTGTAGGAGGAATTTCAATTTGAAAAATATGTATGGACTAGCCCAGGTAGAATTATATTTAAGAAAAAGTCAAATTTTTGACACAAAGCTATAAATAATTTATATATTTTCTTAATTTACTAAATGTACAAAAATAATAATCAAATGGATTACTTTTTTTTATCTTCTTATTACAAGACTAATGCTTTATCAAGTTATTCAAGCCAAAAATACTTCCTTCGCTCAGGTCATAATTGAATTTGCAATATGGCAGTTAAAGTAATAACCAAAGATTATCGCGAGAAATTATATCAATTAATGTCTGCTTTCTCTATGAAATTTCTCGTATCTCATGCAGACCATTATGACTTCTATATTTATACACTCTGTGGTTCAATACAATTAAGTTACATGTACAGGGTATATTCTCTGTCTGTACACATGTTAAGACTTGCATGTAAATGCACTGTTTATTTAGAGAAATAGATGTATTTCTACAACACATGCACGCCTGCATATAGTGTTGATGTATATAGTTACACAATGCATATTAGTGTGTAAAAATGACAATATCCCGAATGTCTTATTCAATATGTTCTACAGATGTGCATGTACGGTACAATACGAGAGAGAGAGAGAGAGAGAGAGAGAGAGAGAGAGAGAGACGCAAACAAAACACCGCATAAAACATGTACAGTACTTACTATCTTTTGATTCAGTAATTTCAGCTCCCGCTCAGTAACTTGCCGTTTATTTTCTTCCTGTTGTCTTTTAATCTCACTCATTCTGTCTTGCAAACTGCTTCCTCTTTGACTTGGAAAAATCAGCAAAGGCTTCAGCAACCAAATCTTAAGTCTGCTTCCTAGCATATTCTTAAATAATCTCACGCGGCAGTGCTTCAACTTCTTATCATAATAGTTGGCCACATGGTCTTGTGTTTTGACATCATGTAAAGTCAGCCCCGCAGATGATTCAAAGCCGCAAGGCAGTGTTGACCGATTTCGTTGGCTGATCCTCCCAAGCAATGGGTTAGTACATTATTTCCCCTGATAGTTTTGCTAGTATTATGGTTCTCAGACTTTGCGGAAGAATTTGTTCATCATGTGTTTGAAATTAAAATGAAATCTGTGTATATTTATTGTAATAATTTAACTTATATTGATTGATTTATTGATTGATTGGTTGGTTGACTGACCGATTACTTTTCTTCTTATATTAATTTTTTATCTAATTATTTTTTTACGTTGATTCAGCGACTATCTTTAAATATATATTTATATTACTAGCAAAAGCAGAGTTCCATGCGTATGCCCGTCGCGTTTTAAGAGATATCAGGGGACATCATAAACAGAAATAACTCAATCACTAGTGAGTCGGAAAGGGGGTTTATCATTATCTTTTCCCGTGCGTACACGCAATAGAACCTAATAAGCGATCTGTTTTATTTTTAGTATCCTAACGTCCTGTGGTAAACAATATGTTACGAGTACACGTACAGCAGGAATAAAGAGCCAGAAAAAAAAGAGATATATTGTGGTATGATGTCCTATGATGTTTAAATTGGGAACATTTTGGTGGTCATTATGTCCGGGAGGGGAGGGGGGGGGTCTGTAAGCAGGGTAGTAGGCCAATGATATTTTTGGCTCCAAAAAAGTCTGAAATACGTCAATAGTAAAAAAAATCTCATCTCTGTATAAGGTGCTTTGAATTGGATCACAGTGTCGAGTTCGTCAATAAAGAAATAAATAAATTAATTTTTAAAAGGTTTAAAATAAAACCACGGAGCCCTAAACGAGTTTTTCACGTGTAAACTCTGATTGTCTCGTCCGCGCTGTTAAATTGTCAAAGAACGATGGAGATTTAGGCAAAAGTCTGTCCAGGAGGGAGTTCGGCAGACAAAATATACCTTTATCTTATTTACCTTCAATTTTTTCCCTCTTTTTCATTTGAATGATAACTTTTTAATCCCACAATGAAATCTCTCAATGTTATCTAATAATGTGTTATCTTTTCTCTTTAGGTTGTTAGGTTGTACATCCCTCCCCCTCCTTTTAGGGAAAGATCCTCTCGTCACGACTACATACGATGACTTATGTTGTGGTCTATTGACGCTTTTAAGCCTCAGTGGTTTGCAATTGCCATTTTCACGCACGTCCAAATTTTGCGCTCGTAGTGATAGGACTAAGGTCAATTTCGTAGAAGTTAAAGGGATAATAACTCTTCGTATGAGATCTATATTTCACAATAAAAACATTGTGAAAAACTCATTGAAATATAATATATTCTGTTTTACCACAAAAACGGCAGCTATAGCTATTATTCTGATATCTGAGCTTGTCTTTAGACCACGTGACTTCCACTGATGGCTATACTCTGTTAAAATCTCTTAAGAGAAAAAAAACAGGGACTAACTTTGAATGTAAAAATGGATTCATTAACCATTGGTAAGTATGGGAAAATTGTTGTTTACTCCAGGAAAATTCATTTTTTGGCCGAAACGAAGAGTTATTATCCCTTTAATCGTATTTCTCTTGTGCTTAACTGCCACTTCATAGACATTCCTAGTAATGTCGACATCGATGTTAATAAAAGTATTTATGTCTTCGGGACGTGACATTTGCTTTTCAGGTTCATATATGTGTTTTAGGTTTTTTGTAAGCTTCATGGTAAGCCGATGTACAACAGCAATCAGGGTAAAGTCAATATATGTTTGACATANATTTTTTTACGTTGATTCAGCGACTATCTTTAAATATATATTTATATTACTAGCAAAAGCAGAGTTCCATGCGTATGCCCGTCGCGTTTTAAGAGATATCAGGGGACATCATAAACAGAAATAACTCAATCACTAGTGAGTCGGAAAGGGGGTTTATCATTATCTTTTCCCGTGCGTACACGCAATAGAACCTAATAAGCGATCTGTTTTATTTTTAGTATCCTAACGTCCTGTGGTAAACAATATGTTACGAGTACACGTACAGCAGGAATAAAGAGCCAGAAAAAAAAGAGATATATTGTGGTATGATGTCCTATGATGTTTAAATTGGGAACATTTTGGTGGTCATTATGTCCGGGAGGGGAGGGGGGGGGTCTGTAAGCAGGGTAGTAGGCCAATGATATTTTTGGCTCCAAAAAAGTCTGAAATACGTCAATAGTAAAAAAAATCTCATCTCTGTATAAGGTGCTTTGAATTGGATCACAGTGTCGAGTTCGTCAATAAAGAAATAAATAAATTAATTTTTAAAAGGTTTAAAATAAAACCACGGAGCCCTAAACGAGTTTTTCACGTGTAAACTCTGATTGTCTCGTCCGCGCTGTTAAATTGTCAAAGAACGATGGAGATTTAGGCAAAAGTCTGTCCAGGAGGGAGTTCGGCAGACAAAATATACCTTTATCTTATTTACCTTCAATTTTTTCCCTCTTTTTCATTTGAATGATAACTTTTTAATCCCACAATGAAATCTCTCAATGTTATCTAATAATGTGTTATCTTTTCTCTTTAGGTTGTTAGGTTGTACATCCCTCCCCCTCCTTTTAGGGAAAGATCCTCTCGTCACGACTACATACGATGACTTATGTTGTGGTCTATTGACGCTTTTAAGCCTCAGTGGTTTGCAATTGCCATTTTCACGCACGTCCAAATTTTGCGCTCGTAGTGATAGGACTAAGGTCAATTTCGTAGAAGTTAAAGGGATAATAACTCTTCGTATGAGATCTATATTTCACAATAAAAACATTGTGAAAAACTCATTGAAATATAATATATTCTGTTTTACCACAAAAACGGCAGCTATAGCTATTATTCTGATATCTGAGCTTGTCTTTAGACCACGTGACTTCCACTGATGGCTATACTCTGTTAAAATCTCTTAAGAGAAAAAAAACAGGGACTAACTTTGAATGTAAAAATGGATTCATTAACCATTGGTAAGTATGGGAAAATTGTTGTTTACTCCAGGAAAATTCATTTTTTGGCCGAAACGAAGAGTTATTATCCCTTTAATCGTATTTCTCTTGTGCTTAACTGCCACTTCATAGACATTCCTAGTAATGTCGACATCGATGTTAATAAAAGTATTTATGTCTTCGGGACGTGACATTTGCTTTTCAGGTTCATATATGTGTTTTAGGTTTTTTGTAAGCTTCATGGTAAGCCGATGTACAACAGCAATCAGGGTAAAGTCAATATATGTTTGACATAAATCATACATGCACTTGTAAATGTAACAGTAACACTACATGCATGTATACAGTCTATAAACAAACAGCAAATGCATTTAATTTATAAGAGCATATCCTCTGTTTTGAAACCATTTCACCGTATTGAGAATAATTGAGATTTATTGGGCGGTTACATGTAGGTCTCAAGCTGTTAAAAATTGGTCGGAATGTCATCATTATTTCTAAGAAAGTAAATTACTGAGAAAGTAAGGGACACTTTTCCCGGAAGTTTTATTCACAACGGCGTAAAATTAAATACGTTATATCTTAAAATAACTTTACCCAACTAATATATTTTCATTGGGAATCTTTCATGCGTCCGATTTTATCAATATATGTATGTCTAACGGAAATGTGTTTACCGATCTGTCCTTTAAAAAAGGCCTATTTTCGAATAAGACATTTCCTTGTACACACTAAAGGTCAGTAAGGTCGAAATCGAGCTAGATTATCCATTGGCATTTAGTCCAGAAATATAATAATTGGAATAAGCGAATTAAATGGCTTTACAGTAGGCCTACATCTGTGTAACACTATTTAGGAAAACAATTTTTAGAAAGGGAGCATATTACAGCTATACCGGGGTATTTCTAAAATTATTTGCAAAATGGATAGTTCGTATTCTTTATTTTTAATTTATTTAATTAATTTTTGTCTTATATGTAAAAAAATGAACGCCGCTTTTGCTATTGTCTTTTTTAAGCAGCTGAAAATAAAATAATAAAATAAAATCAATTGTCGATAACACACGCACATACATGTACATGTACCGGTATGTAATTGAAAGTTACTTAAACAATATACTGAAGTTCTCGAATAAAGCACAATATATAGGTACATGTAGAGGCAGTGCTATAAAAGCGATCTGTTAAGTTTTTGGTAACAAAAACGGAGCGAGCTTTGTTAAAGGGTCATTTTCCTAAAGAAGTGGCCCTTGAGTCACGTCAGTGACGTACAAATTTTGTGTAATATTTTCTTGATATCTGTGTTTGATGACTGTTGATTTCTTTCCACATTGGAGGCTATTACGAGTAGTATAAAACAGCAATAACAATGGGGTAAGTCAAAATGTTAATTTCTTTCCACATTGGAGGCTATTTAACAGCAGTAAAAAACAGCAATAGCAATGGGACAAGTCCAAATTATGCAAATATTACACAAAACGCGATCGTCATTTTTGTGAAACGACCCGAATATAATTAAATTACACATGTATCAGCTTGCTCATATCCAGAGAGTTTATGGGAATCGACTCAAGCGGATACAGGACACCCCACCACACCACCACCACCACCCTTTTAACAAAATTAACAAAATGGCGGATTCCGCCTTTATTCTTTTTCAAAACAGAGGAAATTACTGCTTTATGGCCTTCCGAAGTGCTTGTAATATCCCCGAAATCGTACCATTATAATTTCAAGCAAATAATTTGTGGCGGTGTCAACAAGGGGGTATGAGGAGGAGGGGGGGATGGGGGGGTTAGCGATATTGCACGTATCTTCTCCCTCCTCAGGAGAAAATATTGATTTGCCATTTCCCAAAACAAGAAAATGCAGATTTGAGATTGATTTAGGTACCAACCTGTGTGCGGCAAAATCCTCCAAAATGTATCATTAATGCACTCCATTAAAATAATTTAAAGCTGGACCGAGGGGTGTGAAGCCCCAAAAACATTGCTCCTCCCCCTACACCTACCCTATCCCCTACCAACCCTTTTTTTTTCTTTATTCCCAGAATCCGACAATCACCAGCTTG